TTTCTCCTTAATCAGGAAAAATTGCTACTAGGGGGTACCATCCCCATTACAGACCAGGTTGGATTGTAAAGTCCTAGACTGATATACCATAGGGTATGTCTACACTGCCACCCTAGTTCGAACTAGGGTAGCTAGTATAGGCATTTGAACTTGTAAATGAAGCCCAGGATTTAAATATCCCGGGCTTTATTTGTGTGTTCCCAGGCGCCACCATTTTTAAATGCCCCGAGGTTCGAACTCCCTGCCCGCGGCTACACGCAGCACGGACTAGGTAGTTCAAATTAAAGCTCCTAATTCTAACTACTGTTACTCCTCCTGCAATGAGGAATAACGGTAGTTTCAATTAGGAGCTTTAATTCGAACTACCTAGTCTGTGCTGCGTGTAGCCGTGGGCAGGGAGTTCGAACTGCGGGGCATTTAAAAATGGTGGCGCCCGGGAACATGCAAATAAAGCCCGGGATATTTAAATCCCGGGCTTCATTTGCAAGTACAAATGCCTACATTAGCCGCCGTAGTTCGAACTAGGGTGGCAGTGTAGACATACACATAGAGACATGGTCAGAAATATGTGTCCCCACCCACAAGGGAAAGTTTTGATTTTTCAGCAAAAAATCAAAAGCCATTAAAATTCTATATGGAAATTCCACTGCAGATTGTCATGTGAGCTGTAGCGTATGTGCTTCATACTTCCATTCTCCTCTATGCCATGATCTTTGGACAGACTACATCTTGCATGATGCACCACAGACAAGTGTTCCCTGTAAGCTGAGCACTTGGGAGGCCACCCAGGAGACATTCAAATGATGCCCACCTGATTAGCAGAGCGCACACAGCTGGCAGCATCTGTTTCTACTGGTGGTGCACATCTGATTTGAGTTGGTGCACATGTCAAAATTTATTCTGCACACAGATGGAAAAAATTAGAGGGAACATTGCCACAGCGACGCCTCTTGTTGAACCGCTGTGGTGTCTCTTGGGTATCCCATGGCATAGTGCACCCTGGATGATGTAGTCTGGCTGGGAAGCACAGCCCATAAAGGAGAACGGGCATGAGGCTCCTGAACTGAAACTCTCATAAGTTCATTTTGTTGCAAAATTGTGAACCTTCTCCATAAAAAGCAGACACTTTTCACAAAGAACTTCATTTTGTCAGAAACCCAGTGTCACAATGAAAAGGTTTTGACTAAAGAATTTTGACCAGCCTTGGTGCCATGATTCACTTAGATGGTTGAAACAGACCAATCCCAAAACAAGAACAAACTGTGTTGGTTGCAATATAATTTTGCAACTGTGACCTCCTCTCAAAACCACAATGATAAATCTTTTAACCTTTCAGCAATCTGTAGCTCTTATTCAAGTTCAAGCCATTACAAAAAGCAATGATAGCTGCAACTGGAGCATCACTAGTTTATACATTTAAGCCACAGACTCCTGATTAGTCTAGAATCTGATCAGGTGCTTCTTAATTTTTATCATCACTCTTTGCACCAAATACAGAACTGAGAGATTCTCTTGCAGAAGCAAAGAGGAAACCAACCCCTGAGAGGGGACAGAGAAAAGTGGGGAGGGAGCCCTAGATGCTTTAGAGAAAGGAGAAGTCTGAAACTATGTTTCCCACAAGAGCAAGAAACGGCTCTTTTCACCTCATTGCAGCCACTTTTTAAACCAAAGTTGCAAAATAGGAAGCAACCAGCATGGGGGGACAAGCCATAAAGTCACTGCAACTCTTGTGTAACTGCTAAACAGCTTCCTTGGTGCCATCCTTCCTTTTCTAGCCCATCACACAACTAAATGGACAAATTCATTGAAAGAAAAAATACAACGCAGCTCGTTGAAATGAAACTTTGCAAATATCCATTATCTTTTTCATCTCACAGCTATATTTAGTCAGTTATTTTTAAAAGCAGAAAATAAGTTTAGGATGGCTCTTTGGAGAGCTTATATTTTTCCCGGGTCTAGGGTTGACTGGTTGTTTTCTAAAGATATCTGCCCCTCTTTTCTTCATCTCCTCTTGCTTTACCTTGTCTTTGAGCCACTGGACTTCATTGCTTGTAGGCTCCCTCCACACTTCATCCCTGCTGTTCCCAGCCCTTCAGTTTAAACTGGTGGGGAAAGGACCATTATAAAAACAGCACTCAAACTGAAAGACAATGCACTGCTGCCACATCAACCCAGCCTCACAGAAGACAATCTTGACTACCTCCAGAACTGCAGGAAAATGAAACTCACTATCCCACCATTTTCTGTTCTATACATTACCTACTAAGCCTGGGTTAAAAATTTTAAAAATAGGAGCCTAACATTAGTCCCTTAAATCCAAAACCTAAATTCCCAGGTTTTCATTCACCAGCCAGCTTCTCCTAAAGTCACCCATAGTTTCTGAAATGTTCTGAACAAGTGTGTTTGGTTTACTTGCAGTTAGATCAGGTTCAGCACTGGCTCATCTGCAGTTGTTGCCAACACCCAGAATCAGAAAAGGATAGACTGACAAAGTCCTTAAATTATGTAATACTTTAAGGCTGGCCAGGACCTAATGGCTGGCAAGGAGAAAGTGAAAGGGAGCGGGGAGGGGGAGAGAAGTTGCATATATGCAAGAATCTGGCCAGTTTCATGTTGTTATTCAATGGTAGGCAGCGGTGACAAGAATCATGACAATTTCAAGACAGGGCTTGTGGAACCCCTGCTCCCAAGCAGGGCCTGGGGATCCCAGGAAGCCTATTTCGTTTCAGAAACATGATGTTTCTATGGTGACAAAACAAAAAAAAACACCGAGAGATCAGGGACACTAAAAAGTGCAGCTGTGCTAGGACTCTTGTCTGAACTGAGTCCTGATGACCATCCCCTTCGGCGAATTTTTCTCTGCATTCCCACTTTGAGTTGTCTCTCGCTACAGCAAGTCCCAGCCACATTCAGGCTGGAAGCTAACATGGGTGGGATTAGTATGATGTCAGTGAAACAAGCACAGGGTATGTCTACACTACAGCGCTAATTCGAACTTAGTTCGAATTACTTAATTCGAACTAGCTAGTTCGAATTAAGGGCTGTGTAGATCCTTAATTCGAACTAGCTAGTTCGAATTAAGGGCTGTGTAGATCCTTAATTCGAACTAGCTAGTTCGAATTAAGGGCTGTGTAGATCCTTAATTCGAACTAGCTAGTTCGAATTAAGGGCTGTGTAGATCCTTAATTCGAACTAGCTAGTTCGAATTAAGGGCTGTGTAGATCCTTAATTCGAACTAGCTAGTTCGAATTAAGGGCTGTGTAGATCCTTAATTCGAACTAGCTAGTTCGAATTAAGGGCTGTGTAGATCCTTAATTCGAACTAGCTAGTTCGAATTAAGGGCTGTGTAGATCCTTAATTCGAACTAGCTAGTTCGAATTAAGGGCTGTGTAGATCCTTAATTCGAACTAGCTAGTTCGAATTAAGGGCTGTGTAGATCCTTAATTCGAACTAGCTAGTTCGAATTAAGGGCTGTGTAGATCCTTAATTCGAACTAGCTAGTTCGAATTAAGGGCTGTGTAGATCCTTAATTCGAACTAGCTAGTTCGAATTAAGGGCTGTGTAGATCCTTAATTCGAACTAGCTAGTTCGAATTAAGGGCTGTGTAGATCCTTAATTCGAACTAGCTAGTTCGAATTAAGGGCTGTGTAGATCCTTAATTCGAACTAGCTAGTTCGAATTAAGGGCTGTGTAGATCCTTAATTCGAACTAGCTAGTTCGAATTAAGGGCTGTGTAGATCCTTAATTCGAACTAGCTAGTTCGAATTAAGGGCTGTGTAGATCCTTAATTCGAACTAGCTAGTTCGAATTAAGGGCTGTGTAGATCCTTAATTCGAACTAGCTAGTTCGAATTAAGGGCTGTGTAGATCCTTAATTCGAACTAGCTAGTTCGAATTAAGGGCTGTGTAGATCCTTAATTCGAACTAGCTAGTTCGAATTAAGGGCTGTGTAGATCCTTAATTCGAACTAGCTAGTTCGAATTAAGGGCTGTGTAGATCCTTAATTCGAACTAGCTAGTTCGAATTAAGGGCTGTGTAGATCCTTAATTCGAACTAGCTAGTTCGAATTAAGGGCTGTGTAGATCCTTAATTCGAACTAGCTAGTTCGAATTAAGGGCTGTGTAGATCCTTAATTCGAACTAGCTAGTTCGAATTAAGGGCTGTGTAGATCCTTAATTCGAACTAGCTAGTTCGAATTAAGGGCTGTGTAGATCCTTAATTCGAACTAGCTAGTTCGAATTAAGGGCTGTGTAGATCCTTAATTCGAACTAGCTAGTTCGAATTAAGGGCTGTGTAGATCCTTAATTCGAACTAGCTAGTTCGAATTAAGGGCTGTGTAGATCCTTAATTCGAACTAGCTAGTTCGAATTAAGGGCTGTGTAGATCCTTAATTCGAACTAGCTAGTTCGAATTAAGGGCTGTGTAGATCCTTAATTCGAACTAGCTAGTTCGAATTAAGGGCTGTGTAGATCCTTAATTCGAACTAGCTAGTTCGAATTAAGGGCTGTGTAGATCCTTAATTCGAACTAGCTAGTTCGAATTAAGGGCTGTGTAGATCCTTAATTCGAACTAGCTAGTTCGAATTAAGGGCTGTGTAGATCCTTAATTCGAACTAGCTAGTTCGAATTAAGGGCTGTGTAGATCCTTAATTCGAACTAGCTAGTTCGAATTAAGGGCTGTGTAGATCCTTAATTCGAACTAGCTAGTTCGAATTAAGGGCTGTGTAGATCCTTAATTCGAACTAGCTAGTTCGAATTAAGTAATTCGAACTAAGTTCGAATTAGCGCTGTAGTGTAGACATACCCACAGAGAATAGAACAGTCTAATCCTTTTGCCACACAAGGTTGGAGTTTGGGGATTATTCTTGGAAGAATTTCAAAGAAAATATGTGTGACTTGATTTCCATAAGGGTTCTGTTCTTTTACCATTATTTTTATGAAGTAGAGTTCTCTTGTATTGGAAAGAAAAGTAAAAAACCAATTGCCTGTTACCTTTTGACAGATCCCTTGCAAGATTTCGCTTTCAGCATCGACCAGTGTGCCAATATCTTAACGAATACTTTTAACATCAGAGCTGCAATGATCTTAAGTAAGTGCAGTTTTTTGAGCATTACAAATAAGATACTTCATTGTGCATGTACCCATGTTAAAGACAGTCTGAGGAATAACAACTAAGTGCTTTTGGCAAAACAAAAGAGGGTTTACTGTTCTCACATGAAGGTCCAGGGGCTCAGGAGGTACAGATTGGATCTCAGGAGGAATAGATGCTTTTCTCTGCCATGACTCTGACTTGCTGGGTGACATTGAGTAATGCACCTCAGCCCCCTGTACCTTTGTTACCCCTCCCATCCTCTGTTAGCCTGTTCACATTGTAAACTTGAGAGGACAATCACGTGTCCTAAGAGTTAGCTTAGCTAGAGGGAAGGCGGTCACACTATGAAAGAATACTTGAGCTGCTATGGCCACGCTGGCCCTGCGCTTACTCATGTGCAGGACTAAGACTTCTGGGGGCATGTCTGTTTTCGGGGGGAGGGAGAGGGGAGTGTCACAAGAGAAATACGTTTGAGGGTTACATTACAATCACTCCACATGATTGTTCACAACCTCACACTGCAGGGCTTGAATCCAGTAGCCTCAAAAAGGAAACTACTCTTCATTCACTACATGTCTTGTTATCTACCACAAGGGTTATTACAGGACAGGTTCTATACTACATGATGTTCTATGGATTCAGGAATTCCCAGTGGAATTGGGGCTTAAATAAGCAAAAAAAGAGTAGGATTTTTTTAAACCAAACAATAAATTATTTAATAAATTAATTATAACATAAATAACAATAGCTCAATTTCCACAGTTCTGTTCCTGAACTCTTCTTCTGTTTTCTGCGCAGGACACAGCATCACGGAATTGTTCCTGAATGTTAATCTCATGCTAAATGGGAAGAGTGTCCTCGGCTACTCAAAGAAACTTTGTGAGCCGAATGGCCATAGGTTTCTTTTCTGTGGAAAGAAAAAGGGAGGTAATTTTACCTAGCACACTAAACACTTTTAAGCAGGACATCTCTGATGCACTGCCAAATGTATCACCTAACAATGCACTTCCTAACATTGTTTCCTTCAACAGGATGCTACTGGATGACAGAACCACAGTAGGAGAGAGTCATTTTACTTTTAAAGTCTCCTCTTGGCAAAACACACTCACTAGCTTGTAGTATTTTAATTGCACAGAGGCCTCGGTGCTATATACATCAGAAGGGGAATGTAGAAGGATAATCTATAACTCAGCATGTAATGTAAGTAAGTAGCATGGGCCCATTTGCACACCTCTAACGTTTAATAGCCATCCCATTTCTTTCAGCGAAACTGTGCGTCTGAGGACCACTGCTGTTTTCATAAAAGCAATGGCTGAGTTAATGAACATGATAACTTGAGGTGTGCTGTGATGCCTATTTAAAAATAAGCTGTTTCCTATTTGCTAGTCCAGTACTCAATTTGACTTTCATAGCAGTTGCACCTGAATAAGGATTTTGTTTGGATCTCTAATAATAGTAGAGTGAAAGTTTTGTTATCCAGCAGTCTGCTAACAAGCATTGTCGCCCACCATAATACTGTCATGTCTTCAGGCATATGCCTGACTCCTTCTTGTCCAGCCAGCCATTGCAGGGCTTCTGAAATGATCAGCACGCACCTCCTTCCCCCTCCGCCTGTCTTGAGTTGCCAGAACTGCCAGTGGGGGGCAGGGGCAGAGCAATAATCTTTGTTATCCAGCACATTCAATTAACCGGCAACCCCCATTCCCTAGGAGTGCCGGGGTAACAAAGCTTTCACTGTAAATTCTTACTCTTCCTGATATCATGTTAATCTCATTAGGCTGATCTGAAAAGAAAAGGTGGGTGGAGGGCAATTTGCCAGAGAGTTGAGAGAATGGCAGTTTAGTAAGTTATTTTTGATGGCTCTTTTCCCAGTCACCTGCATCTCCATCACCATTATGATAATTCATTTGCGGTAGGGCTATGGGTCTGGTGACCGTGCACTACACTGTTGAAAAGATGGCCTCAGGGGAATTGCTAAGACATTTCACACAGCACAGAGATATCAAAAAGTACAGCAGATAAATACTGCACAAGCAACCAATTATGTAAATTCTGCAGGCCAGATAGAAAAATTAAATTCAGAGGCTTTTTCAATTGCCTATTGAACGAAAGAAAATGAGACACCCATAGACCAACCATAAGGAACAGTGTCATATTCTGGCAAAGTGCTTAATAACACCCTGTAGAAAATGTATTAAGGACAACTAGAGTTGATCCTAAGCCCCACACAAGCTGCTGTTTACACATTAAGCCACATAGTCCAACCCTTCTGGGGTTTGCAGGTCCTTGACCTTACCTGGCAGGGAGATTGTTTTCCACTAATCAAAGTGCATTATGATATTAAAGAACACTTGATTGTTTAAATAACCATGCATCTTCATTTAGAAGCCGCCCTCAGTTAATAACAGAACCTTACCACACTTATTAATAGAAGCCATGTTGTTTAACAGCCACCTTCACTGGGTAGCCAGCATTTGCCCACGGGGTTAGATGATGGAGCTCCATTGTTAGATGATGGAGCTCCAAAATGGAGATGTGGTTAGGGTTGCCAGGTGTCCGGTATTTTCTGGGTTTTTTTTCCCTGCCAGGAGGCGAAAATACCAGACACCTGGCAACCCTACGACACACTCAGCAACTGGGCCCAGTACTGTACTGCTGTAAGGTCTCTAGTGTAGACATGGCCCAATATAGTTAGCACTATCATTAAACTTGATCTTTGCTCTGTGTAGAAAGAGCCAGAATTTGAGCTGTCAAGCATGAGTAAAGCAAGAGTGAAGATTGCAGAGCACTCTCTTGCTAAGGCTGGATTTTTTCAATTAGAACCCCACTGCATTTTGAGCAACATTTGTAAAACAAATTTTATTGTACCACACTTTAAATATAGTTCCAAGCAGAATTTGGTTTGGCCATTGTAATGAGAACAACTGTAAAGCTTTCTCCCACCCCTTCCCTAGAAGCCACTGATTTTTATGTTTGGCCCTTCTATAAATCTTGCAGCTCTTTGAGAGATTCAGGAATATCCTATGCTAAAAGAGAGGAAAGTGTAGTAGAAAGGAATTGAGGAGGAGTCAAAGGTGACAAATAGATAACATTATCCTAGAACAGCAACCGGCGACTGGAATAGTCTTCGCAGAAAAAAACATTGTTGGCTGTTTTACAAACATCTCTGTTTCCATTATAGTATTTGTTACCTATCTTTTTACTTTTATTTAAACAAATTGTATAAGTCACAACCGAACTAGCAAAGCTCACAAGGACTCTGAAACATGATTCTGAAAAACCTATGTCTGTTTCTTGAAGATCTAAACCTATTACACTGTTTTCTGTTCCAAAGAAGGTAAGGAGGGGACTTTCTTAGTGAAAAAAAAATCATTACTAAAGTCTTTGTGGTATTCAGTTGAGAGATGGGCTTCCTTTTTCTACGGATGAATTTTTCTGATCATTGTTCATATCCCACACAAGAAAATGGTTACACAAAAGTTAGGGTTGCTCAAGTCTACTTCCTACCAACACAGTCACACACACACACACACACACACACAAAATCAGGAGAACAAACCATTCTGGTAACATTAGGATCGACAGCCACCACAGCTCAGAGATCTTAACCAGGTAATGCTCAAACACACTCACAGACTTTGCAGCTGTACAAACTTGCTCTTTCAGATCTAACATAGAACACTCAAAGCACACACCCAAATCACACTAAACCAAAAAACCTTAATTTGGACCTTAGTTACATAAACATATACATGTTATGGCTTGTATGTATAATGTATTACACATGCAGAGTATGAAATGTGAAGTTAGGTCATTCTTTTGAGTGCAATTGTGAGGAAATGGATGGGTAGTCTCAGCCAGCAGCTACAACACAAGGCTGGGGTCTGTCTGGTTTGAACTGCCACATGACCTTGAGCAAGAAACTCATCCTCTCCACCTCACTTTCTCCCACCCGTAAAGTGAATTAATGATACTCAGACAGCTCCAATATTTATAGATGCACAATATTCAGATAAATTCTAAGCCAATAGAATTCATGGCCGCTGTGTCATTGAGTTGAATGAATGCACGATCCAGCCCTAGAAGATCTAAATCTGACTGTATTATTACTCATACACAAAAAATTAAATTCTATAAAGATTTAAAACCCAGAAAAGGAAGAGGTGGATGCAGACGTACTTGGGCCTTTATATAGTACTACATGTGTGAGATTGTTCAAAGATTTTCAGCCTAGGAAAGAATTGAGAAAGAGGAGTCAGAATTTAATTATAGGTGTTTTGTCAGAAATGAGAGGCAGCTTCACAAGAACAAGTAGCTTGAAGTAATTCTCAGGAAGTTCTTACTCACTCCACTTCCAATTGTAAATTGCTAGAGACCAGTTGATCACAGGGAGGAGGAGTAAATTAGTCTTAGAAAAGAAAGCCCTAAGTCAGCTAAAGACTTTTTTCATTATGTTCTGCAGAAAACTTCTTTAGTCATATGAGTCATAAAAGGAAGGGTTGCATATGAAGATAATGTCCCAGGAACACTGGCTGTTCTGCATAAATAGATGCTGTGATTTATCTAGTATTTTGCACACATGATGGTGGGAGAACTATTTTTCACGTCAAAGTTTGCCATGATTTATAAAGTAATCTCATAAAACCTATACATTTTTCACACTCTAGAGCTTATGTAAACTCAGACAGAAAAGTTCCAAAGAGGCAACACTTTGCAGTCAATGTACAAAACTAAGTATTGGTCTTAGTTATAATTACTGTAACAATTGCCCCCTTATGACAGGGAAATGCAAGGGTTTAGGCAGATGTACTGTATGAAGAATCCTGGAATCCCCAAAAGAAGACATGCATTCAGTTTGATTCATACTTGGGAGACAGTATTTTCTGCTATATCCCCAGCTGGGTAAAGTCCACAGAGAGGGAATCAGAGGGGTTTGAGGAGTCTGGTTTAAACAATACAGCCACAAACGTAGGTGGCCCTGGTCAGCTAGGGATTTGGTCAGAAAATCCAGTAGTCCTATTGAGAACAGTAGAACATCACCTGAGAGCCTCCATTAGTTGAAGATTAAAGTTTCTCTCATTCTAAAGCAGAGGCCCATCTCCTACTGATGCAGGGGAGAAGAGACCATTTCCCCTTCGGTGAAATGGGATTTATATTCACCCAGCTCACAAAAGGGTTTTGGTGCCATTTATTAAGGTCACAGTATGGTGAACATGGATTAGGAATGAGGGATGCCCCAGACTAAATTCCAGATAGACTCTCGCAGACTCCCCAAACAATAGTACTGGTGATGGTGCTTTCTGCACTCCATACAGTTGTTCTAGAAATAGCTCCCGCTACTACTACCTCAAGGAAGGTCATGACTACAATTTACAGGCAGGACCTCTGTGTCCACTAAAGGGGGAAATATATCTACAGCCCAGGATTGCCTCAATCTAGCCCTGGTGGGATGGCCAAAGTTTGGTTTATGGTGTAACTGAAAAATCAGCATCTGCCTTCACTAGCATCTCTACATGTTCAACAGTACACAAGTATACTGTTCAGTAAACACTCTGAAGTTCAGTATCTCTGGAGGGAAAACATTCAGCTGCATGAGCACTTAGTGACTGCTTCACCTTAGACTCTCAGAAACTGTGCTATTCCCATAGGGCATCCTCAGAGCTTAGCACATTCTCCTACACTAGGAAGAAGGCCCATACCTTTATACTTCTCTTGGGGTGTGTCTACATTGCACCCTTTGCTTGAAATAAGCTATGCAATTTGAGCTAGGCAAATTGCGTAGCTTATTTACAGTTAATTTTGAAATAGTTTATTTCAAAATTTCAAAATAGAGTGCTATTCCAAAACATCCCTTAATCCCTGTGGAAAGAGGTTTACAGGACGTCGGAATAGCATGTCCATTATTTCAAAAGCTATTTCAAAAGAACGGGCGCGCTATCAAGACGTGAAAAACGCTATTTCGGGATACCTAAAGTATCCCAAAATAGTGCCGCTGTCTAGATGTGCCCTTAGCGAGCTGCTGCCCATAAAGTTTTTCTAAATCCTAAAGCACTTGTCATGGAGAATTTCAAAGTATTATTATAAAATAGTGCATCCTATCAGCGGCCTGCTTCCTTTGTGCATTGCGTAATTATAATCCATTTGTTTTTCAGAACATATCTACTATGAAGGACCTGTCAAATTGGGAATCCATGCAATCCCCAAAGTAAGTTCCCTCTGGTAATGTCCTGAAATGTAAGAGTTACTTGACTAAGTTCAGAAAGCACGATAACAATGAGTGATTTTGACTGTGTAAACTGTTGCCTCAGGGCACGATGCAGAGATGAAGGATGTAAAGAAGCTGGTAACTGACTAATCATGTATTCAATACAATTTATATTGAGTATATGATTAGTCGATAAGCTGCGGCCCTATAGTTGAAATGTCCCCAAAAAGACTTTCAAGGGGGAAGAGGTCAGTTACTGCTGCAGAAATCCACATTGTACAGAGCGGAGAATTCCCAGGAAAGCAATCAGTTACTACTAGATGCACATGCCCCCCCCCCCCTCCCGAAAGCCAGAGATCCCTGAACACCCAGAGTGGTTTCTATGAGTTGACACTTAGGGCCACACTGCTCCCACAAGTCTCGACACTACTGGTAGGTTTCCTGCCCAGTTTCTGCAGTGAAGACCAAACGTGGCTCAAAAATACAGAATTAAAACAGATTTCTATGTCAAGTCCTCCTCTCAATCTACTGAGTGAGCTTAGGTACCTAACTTTCCCCAGTTATCTTATTGCTAGGCGGAAAGATATTTTGATCTCTGAAATTAGGATGCCCCCTAAGCCTGGGTCTACAAATTTGGACCTTGCATATTTTCTCATCTACACTGAACAGAGGGGCTGATGTGAAATTATCCCCCAGAAGAAAGTGGTAGGATTACCACCTGTTTTGTTGAAACTAAAATACAGCAAGTTCTAGATACCTGTATCACAAGCTTCTACAGATGATGATTCTTTAAAAATACGCAATTAATATTTAACTTCAGATGAATTTTCACAAATATTATCGTAATGCAATGTCTGAACAATAAGATTAGAGGAGGAAGAATACCAGTCAAAAACATTTCTCCTATTCTGATTAAACAGCAGTTGCAAAGTAAAGAGAAAGCCTTAATAATATAAAAGCCAAGGTGCAATTTTTCCACAGACCAAGAAAAGCTACATGGATCTGAAAGCAATTTTTAAATATCAGAGAATTTTGTTTCCTTAGGGAAGCATTCTCCACCTTTATTTAATTTTGAATTTGCTGTGCTATCATTTCACATCTAGGAACAGGGGCATTTGGCAAGAAAAATGGGCCACACCTTTTACCACCACTGAAATGTATTTGGACTGGAAGAGCTTTCAGGAAAAACATTAACTGTTTTGATGGGGGGGAAAGGGGACTCTCTCCTAGGAAGAGAGGCAGTTCTGTACTGTTTTTGTGCTAATTTAATGTTTTGCTTTTGTTTCACACAGGGAGTGTTCAAAGTTTCAGTGAAGCTGAATAATGGAGATCATCTGACTGTTGCTTGTGCTGAATTTACCATAACACATAAATAGTTTTCCTCCACATAAATCAAATAAATGAGCAGAAACTGTTCATTTAAAGTGGTAGGTCTCCAAAACATTGCAAACTTTGTAGTCAAGAAAGCTACCGTATTTTCCGGCGTATAAGACGACTTTTTATGCTAAAAAACATCCCCCAAAAATCGGGGTCGTCTTATACGCCGGGTATACAGGCAGTCCCCGACTTGCAGGTACGAACGGGGCTTTTCTCGCCCCGGAGTACATGGGCGGCGGGACTGCGAGGTCCCGCAGTCTGTGTCCTCCGGGGCGAGAAAAGCTGCTCCGCGTCTCCCTGGTCTGCGGAGGGGCTCAGGCAGCGGGGCAGCTCAGGCGCGCCCGGGCTGCCCCGCTGCTGGCTTCCCCCGTGGCTTTGCAAAGCCTCAGGGGAAGCCGGCAGCAGGGCAGCGCAGACGCGCCGCGGCTGTCCCGCTGCCGGCGTCCTCAGAGGCTTTGCTCCCGGTGTCCCTGGTCTGCTGGAGACGGTCCCCAGCAGACCAGAGGCACCGGGAGCAAAGCCTCTGAGGACGCCGGCAGCGGGGCAGCCCAGGCGCGCCTGAGCTGCCCCGCTGCCCGAGCCCCTCCGCAGACCAGGAGACGCGGAGCAGCTTTTCTCGCCCCGGAGTACATGGGCGGCGGGACTGCGAGGTCCCGCAGTCTGTGTCCTCCGGGGCGAGAAAAGCCCCGTTCGTACCTGCAAGTCGGGGACTGCCTGTATACCCGGCGTATAAGACGACTTTTTATGCTAAAAAACATCCCCCAAAAATCGGGGTCGTCTTATACGCCGGAAAATACGGTAGTTATATTCAACAGTGATATTGAAGGAAATAATTCCACTCTGAGGATCAGGTGTAATTCTTGTTTATAATCCTTTGCTTTTAGGGAGTTACTAGAACCGAAGAGGTAATTAATCCTAAGACAGTCTCTGTACTTCATTTGGCTTTGTTTCTATAATATATGGCTTTTCAATAGCAAAACTTTTAACTTCTCAAAAGTCCAGTAATTAAAGCACTGAATGAAACAGGCATTGCTCAGTCACCAAGAAGGAAGAAATCAGAGCTTGGTGCTTGAACTCTGTCCTTTTTTTCTGCGCTAGTGGAGGCAGGAGGGGACTTAGTACATTGGGGGGGTATGGCTACACTGTGGGGGAGAGGTTGAAGAAGATATGCAAATTGCGCTCACATTTGCATATCTTCTGAAAAAAAATCAGAAGAGCATACCTTCTTCGAAAACCACCCTCTCCCCCCACACAGTGTAGTCGTACTCTGGTTCCCCAACATGCATGCCTTCTAGAGATATTGCTTTTGCGGTTGACGCTAGCCAGGGATTCCCAGCCATAGAACCCTTTCTTACCTGAACCTGGGTCAACAAATATCAGTGTGGAAGCATTCGGCCATCAGCCTGGCTGCACTTGCCGCAGGCTGCCATCTGGAGGGGGGGTCAATCAAGTGGCTTCAGGAGAGCTTCCACCCCGAGGAGCCCGCAAAGCCAGCCCAGTCCTCCCCATCGGGGGATCATATCCCATTCCTCCCTCACCTCCTTCCACTTGCCCCTCCCTAACCCCCCTTCCTGATGTACAAAATAAAGGACATGTGTGTTCAAAAATAGAAACTCTCTTTATTGAACAAAACTCGGGGAGACTGGGAAAAGGAGGTGGGAGAGGGGAAGAGAGAGGGTGAGAGAGGGGAAGGCACTATAATGATCAGGGGTTTGGAACAGGTCCCATATGAAGAGAGGCTAAAGAGACTGGGACTTTTCAGCTTAGAAAAGAGGAGACTGAGGGGGGATATGATAGAGGTCTATAAAAGCATGAGTGGTGTGGAGAGGGTGCATAAAGAAAAGTTCTTCATTAGTTCCCATAATAGAAGGACTAAAGGATACCAAATGAAATGAATGGGTAGCAGGCTTCAAACTAACAACAGAAAGTTCTTCTTCACAAAGCAAAGAGTCAACCTGTGGAACTCCTTGCTGCAGGAGGCTGTGAAGGCTAGAACTAGAACAGAGTTTAAAGAGAAGTGAGATAAAGTCATGGAGGTTGGGGCCATGGAGTGGTATTAGCCAGAGGGTAGGAATGGTGTCCCTGGCCTCTGTTTGTGGAAGGCTGGAGATGGATGGCACGAGACAAATGGCTTGGTCATTGTTT